TATCCAATCCACCACATACACGACTTTACCCGTATATTACACAATTCAAAATTTTGTTCAACTATCGACCTGGAAAAACCATATAATCAAATTCCAATACCAGAAGCAAATAGCTCTAAGACAGCAATAACAACCTCTTTCGGCTTACATGAATTCAACGTGATGATTTTTGGTCTATAAATTTTCATACAAACGTTTCGAAGATTTGTGAACGATGTATTAGAATACCTAGATCATGTAGTAACGTATATTGACGACATACGCGTGGCATCAGCTGATCAATGTGGGAAAGTCTACGTTTTAGAAAAAAGTGATTACCTTCCTAAAACATGTAGTTAACGGAAACGGAATTAGTCGCAAAGCCGATAGGGTCAAAGCAATTAAAAATTTTTAAAAACAACAGAAACACGAGAATTAAGAAGATTTTGCGCTTTGTTAAACTTTTACGGGCGTTTTCTTCTGCACACTGAAAAGAATCAGGGTATTCTGTAATAAAAGGTAATAAGAGGTACGATAAGTCCTCAGTTGAGTATACAGTAGCGGCTGAAAAAACATTTGAAGTATGTAAAAATGACCTAGTAAATGATGCGATGTTAGCCCATCCAGCTACAAAATACTACTAAAAATCTTTTTCTCGATTTTTATTCATGTGAAATTAAGCTTATTTAATATGTGATAGTTTGCCATACAGAATCCTTTAATAATTAAAAATACCATCAAAAAATTTTATGATTATTTTGGCAGAGTTTAAGAGATCAAATTATTGCTGTATGTACTTGGAAAGAATACTTTTATTATATTTTAAATAAATTATTGCCTGATCTGCAAATCCAAACTATCGCCACTTATTACCATATTCAGGTCTGCGAGTGTGATTTTATCGCACAATGTTTCTACTAATAAAAATATAAATAAAATTCAAGAACCATAAGTAAGAAAAGATCAAGTAAAGAGTAATGTCGAGATTTTCAAGAAAAATGGGAGCTGCAACATTTTTGTGTTTAAAATAAAAAGAAAAATACTATATCTAATATATGAATCCCATCGGATACGATGGTTGTAGAAAAATGTGATCTGGTTTCTGACGAAATCATTCGGAAGAATCAATGCAATATGGCATAGTGCAATATGCACTATGAAAGAAATTCATAATGAACCATTTCACTATAATCGAAAAAAAGTGTTAACACGACATTAATTTTAAAATTAATTGAATAAAAATTAAATGCGATATTATCGGTTTTGAATCACCTTTTATATGCTATACAACCCAGCTGTTTCCGGATTGTATAGCTAGATTCTAATATCATATCGTTATGCATTTCATCATAATCCTAATAAGCACAAAGGATTATTTGGGTGACTGCAACTAAACGCTGCTTTTCCAAAAAATTTAGTGTTTTGGGAACCAACCAAGATTTCTCTTCTTTTAGGCAAAAAACATTTTTCAAAATGGTCTATACTGTAACCAAAGAATCTATAGTACAAAGAAGTGCCACGCTCATACAAACGAAATACCCACTTTATTTTGCTGGTGGATTTATAATAAATCCACCCAACCTCATGCAACAATGTTCGATCGAGTCACAACTGGTATGATGTTCAGTTCAAACTCATTGCAACCCATAATTGTTTTTATACGCCTGTTTCTTTTGCCTTTCTTATTTTTATTTGTCTATTTAATTAATATACATTGATTTGTAGCGAAGTGAATGGTAAAGAAATCCCTGAAACAATTTTTCGATATACTTTGTTGCTTTATTTTCTTGTACTGAAAAGGCTCATATCATAGGAGTAAAGAGTAATAGAATATAATTTTTTTTTATTGCAAAAAATGATGCACTACAAAAACTATTATGTATGTACAAATGTGATATTGAAGACATTAAGTCTGCAGTACATAAATAAGTTTGTTTTTATTGCACATTTGTGTGTGTGTGCATATATTTTACCTCAAATGGAACTACTTCTTAATAGTTTGAATTTTTGGTGACTTTTTGTAATTATTTTAAAAAATATTTGCAAGATTCATATAAAAGTTTTTGAAAAGTATTTTAAAAAAAATAAAAATATTAGAAATGTAAGAAAAATTTTAATGCAAAAATGTGTAGAAGTCACTAAAACCACTATTAATGCCTACTGGTTTGAGGAAACACATGAATGCTATTTACACCGGATTGAAATGTTAAAATTGGTGTTTACGATATTGCTTCGGAAACATTGCGCATGGACAATATTTAAGAATAAAGCTTCCTCGAATGGAAAAATCAGATTTGAGACATAAATAAATTTGTAATGTGTTTTTACACTACAATTCATAACAATATCAAACAGGTAATTTTGTTTCATATGCTATTAAATTCAAAAACTTATCAAATGTACACAATTTTGACTTCGTCACTGAAATGCTGTTTGATCGTTTGAACATTTTACAGCGAACAAACATACAAACATGCGTATAATGTAATACAGAGGGTTGCATGTATGATTGAATACGAATGCAGTCGGGCTTTTGTCAGCCTTACTCGACTCACATATAGGTTTGAACTGGTCATCATACCAGTTGTGACTCGATCGAACATTGTTGCATGAGGTTGGGTGGATTTATTATAAATCCACCAGCAAAATAAAGTGGGTATTTCGTTTGTATGAGCGTGGCACTTCTTTGTACTATAGATTCTTTGCTGCAGACTTAATGTCTCCAATATCACATTTGTACATACATAATTGCTTTTGTAGTGCATCATTTGTTGCAAAAAAAAAATAATATATTCTATTACTCTTTACTCCTATGATATGGGCCTTTCCAGTACAAGAAGATAAAGCAACAAAGTATATCGAAAAATTATTTGAGGGATTTCTTTACCATTCACTTCGCTACTAATCAATGTATATTAATAAAATAGGCAAATAAAAACAAGAAAGGCAAAAGAAACAGGCGTATAAAAACAATTGTGGGTTGCAATGAGTTTGAACTGAACATCATACCAGTTGTGACTCGATCGAACATTGTTGCATGACGTTGGGTGGATTTATTATAAATCCACCAGCAAAATAAAGTGGGTATTTCGTTTGTATGAGCGTGGCACTTCTTTGTACTATAGATTCTTTGCTGTAACTATCTTTGATTTGTTTTATGTGATGTTCATCAGTTTAAATTGTTTATACCATTTATTTATATAGCCTGGTTACTGGAGGTATTTCTACGCAAGCGAAATTTATTGAATTATTTGATCAATAAAATCAGAATTTACAAATCTTCGAATTAACCTCTTAGTGTTCGCAAAACTTGTGCGGAATTATAACGAATATACATTGTGACCGAAAGGTTTTCGGAGGTTCTCATTTAAAATTCGCGCGCTGTATATTTTTCGATATTTTAAGTTTATGTAGTTTGGCAGCACTGTCCTTAATTACTATGCCAAAATGAGCGCGATCTGTCAGACAGTTCGTTTACGGCAGCTGTTGAAACCAGTTCACCTCAGTAGTGCGTTGCGAAAAAAACAATGGAAAAAAATATTGAACAAAGAGTTTGCATCAAATTTTGTTTTTCGAACGAAATTTCGTGTGCAGAATCGTTGCGAATGCTACAAAAGGCTTATGGGGAATCAGTTTTATCGAAAACTCAAGTTTATGAGTGGTACAAAGCCTTTCAGGACTGTCGTACGACCGTCGAAGACATGCCGCGTTCTGGACGACCTTCGACCTCTACCACCGACGAAAACATTGAAAAGGCAAAGGAAATCGTGTTCAAAAATCCTCATGTGAGTGTTAGAGAGATAGCACGAGAGCTAGGCATCGGTCGTGAGATGGCTCGTTTGATTTTGGTGGACAATTTGTGTATGCGACGTGTCAACGCCCGGCTTGTTCCGATTCACCTCAATTTGTTCAACATTATCAACGATTTTAAGGCCAAACATTCAATAAATACCATCGAACAGCCACCGTATTCACCTGATCTTGCACCGTGTGACTTTTTCCTGTTTCCCAACCTCAAATTACCACTCAGAGGAACGCGTTTTGAATCCATAGAAGACGTAAAACAGAATTCGCAGAGGGAACTCAAAGCCATACCGGAAAGCGCCTATAAAATGTTTTAATGATTGGAGAAACGTTGGCATTTGTGTATCGCTTCTAATGGAGCATATTTTGAAGGAGATAAAATAAATATTGATGAAGATTAAGAATTTTGCGTTTTATTTATTTATGACCGGAAACTTTTCGGTCACAATGTAGATATTAGTATATCTACATTTGCTAGCTACGTTTTAGACAAAAAGGTTCGAAAGTCGTTGATTTTTTCGTATTAAGACAAATAGTTTAATGAAGCAATATTACTTAATAACAAAATTAATGCAAAAAATGCAAATCTATGTAATAACATATAAGTTAAAAACTAGTTTTTTTTAACATGTTACACATACTATAATATGTTACACGTAATAGGACAGAATACCATGAGTTAGGATGAATATTTAAAGATTAAACTTCGTTTGATTGGTAAGAAAGATAAATAAAGTATGGATTAATCATGTCCATTGAGGACACGACGAATATATAGTCAAAAGACAATTCATAACAAATAAAATAATACACAGAAACAAGATCAATGAAGATCAACTAACCTGGTACCTGGTAAACACTACTGACTATTTATGCTATTAAATGTTGTTATTTTAGTTCCTCACGTTTTAATATTTTAAACATAGTGAAATAATATCATATTGTATGTTGGAACCTATTAAGTTAAGGCTGCTTAAGTATATGAAATCATAGAATTCCAATAAAATATTTTCGATATATTTTTTAGATATTTTTCATTAATGATCAAAAATTTTATTTCTCACAATTCAATGACAATTCAAACATTATCCATCAAAAATTCATTCCAATTATTTTCCAACATTTCGGGGTCTTTTTGTGAACAGTTGAACTCAAAGGAGATTCAAAACAAGTTTTAGCAATCAATATATATCCATAGCAATAGTAATTTTTGAAATATGTTATGCCAACAGGTAGTAGTTGGTAATAGTGAAGTGCAAGCAGTGGGGTATGTAAGGGGAATGGTTTTGGAGTTCAACTCTCCAGGCATATTTAGAATTTTTATGCACTACATTAACTAGTTACTTTGCTTAGCTACCGACAGTTGTTGCCCATTTTGAAGTAAATAATGAATACATATTTCATCTATTGTCACATTGTTCAGAGTTGTTAAAGATCCAAATAACAGTCGAAATTAATAATACATTGTTGTTTTTACTCCACTTTAAGCAAAAGAGATATACATTTCGATCACACCTTTCCATAATAAGAAGTTAACACAACCTGAATTTTATACTTTTTACTGATATTCCTAAGGTGTCAGCTAAGCATTATTTGTATTTTTAGGGATTTGTTTCCACATAGCAAATGTGATAATGACACATCACAGTGATTATTTATGTTAACTTTTCAAACCAATACTACATTTGCAAAGATTTTAGATCTCTATCAGTAAACGCAAAATAGACTTTTCCATTAGTTCTAAAATTAAAAAAGTA